CTTTCATACATTTATTAAACAAAAGTACCAACCACTTCAACACTATATCCCCCTGCTTTAAACATTTCTGTCATGATCCCATCAGTTCCAGCTGCTTTACCCCCTTTCATTTTATGTAATGCCTCACGTACCTCCCCCACACTTACATTCTACTCTTCTTCACTCCTAAAAGATGGTATACCTCCCTGACCAGAGCATGAAATTACTGCCTCTGTTTCTTCCTTAACATTTAAAAGTTTTCCTCAAAATATTCTCGCCATCTACCTAATACCTCCATCTCCCCATCTACTAACTCCCCTACTCTGTTTTTAACTGACAAATCCATACTTTCCCTAGGCTTTCTTAACTTGTTTAACTCACTCCAAAATTTTTTCTTATTTTCATTAAAATTTCTTGACAGTACCTCTCCCACTCTATCATCTGCTCTCCTTTTGCACTCTCTCACCACTCTCTTTACCTTTCTTTTACTCTCCATATACTCTGCTCTTCTTATAACACTTCTGCTTTGTAAAAACCTCTCATAAGCTACCTTTTTCTCTTTTATCACACCCTTTACTTCATCATTCCACCAATCACTCCTCTTTCCTTCTGCCCCCACCCTCCTATAACCACAAACTTCTGCCCCACATTCTAATACTGCATTTTTAAAAACTATTCCAACCCTCTTCAACCCCCCCACTACTCATCTTTGCACTAGCCCACCTTTCTGCCAATAGTCGCTTATATCTCACCCGAACTTCCTCCTCCCTTAGTTTATACACTTTCACCTCCCTCTTACTTGTTGTTGCCACCTTCCTCTTTTCCCATCTACCTCTTACTCTAACTGTAGCTACAACTAAATAATGATCCGATATATCAGTTGCCCCTCTCTAAACATGTACATCCTGGAGCCTACCCATCAACCTTTTATCCACCAATACATAATCTAATAAACTACTTTCATTACGTGCTACATCATACCTTGTATATTTATTTATCCTCTTTTTCATAAAATATGTATTACTTATTACCAAATCTCTTTCTACACATAGCTCAATTAAAGGCTCCCCATTTTCATTTACCCCTGGCACCCCAAATTTACCTACTACTCCCTCCATAACATTTTTACCCACTTTAGCATTGAAATCCCCAACCACCATTACTCTCACACTTGATTCAAAACTCCCCACTCATTCACTCAACATTTCCCAAAATCAATCTCTCTCCTCTACACTTCTCTCTTCTCCAGGTGCATACGCGCTTATTATAACCCACTTTTCACATCCAATCTTTATTTTACTCCACATAATCCTTGAATTAATACATTTATAGTCCCTCTTTTCCTGCCATAGCTTATCTTTCAACATTATTGCTCCTCCTTCTTTAGCTCTAACTCTATTTGAAACCCCTGACCTAATCCCATTTATTCCTCTCCATTGAAACTCTCCCACCCCCTTCAGCTTTGTTTCACTTAAAGCCAGGACATCCAATTTCTTCTCATTCATAACATCCACAATCATCTCTTTCTTATCATTTGCACAACATCCATGCACATTCAGACTTCCCACTTTGACAATTTTCTTCTTCTTATTCTTTTTAGTAATCTTTACAGGAAAAGGGGTTACTAGCCCATTGTTCCCGGCATTTTAGTTGACTTTTACAACACGCATGGCTTACGGAGGAAAGATTCTTATTCCACTTCCCCATGGAATGCTGAAATATATGAAATATATGAAATGCTGGAATATATATGAAACTTCTTGAAGCACGGTGTAAGATGAGTGTCACTCCACTGCTGCAGTCAGCAGTGCAGTGACATTTGATGATCGTGCACTGCCTTGGCTTTATTTTTCACTGTTACACATAAATATATCTATCTGTTTCTGTCTGTCTGTATCTATCTGTCTAGCTCTATGTTTATCACTGTCTCTGCTTGTCTGTGTTTCTGTCTTCCTGTCTCTCTACTTGTCTCTCTGTCTCAGAGAGCGAGAGCCGCTCATGAACCAACAGGTATTACACACGATGCAAAGTTGTCACGTCTGATTCCTGAACAAGTGAATATGTGTATTACTTGCCAGTCATGCTTATTATGCCTTATATCTACAAGCATAGTACAAGTATAGCACTTTGTCTGAATTTTTTGGGTTATCCTAGGTAATTTACACTATGTATAACTGTATTTGTGTGCACCTGTGAGATAGAGACACAGACAGACAGAGACATAGATAGATACAGACAGACAGAAGGAGATAGAAACAGCCAAAGCAAATCAGCCAGCCAGTCGGCGACCCAACCAGCCGGCATGCCAAACACATATTACACACACACGAAGTCATTGAGATCATAAAGTCACTTAAAAATAACTCGGGGAATCTGTCTCATGTCCCACCATTACTGTACAAGCGAGCGGCCCATGTCCTTTCGCATGCTATTTCATTACTTTTTAACAAGTCAATAGAGACTAGCACCTTCCCGAAACTACTCAAGATGGCAAGGGTTACACCAATACATAAAGGTGGTGACCCTACAGACTTAAACAACTATAGGCCAATATCTAACTTACCATTGCTATCCAAAATCTTTGAGAAACTCGTGTACAAGAGACTGTATTCATTTATAACGGCTCAAAACATACTCAACCCCTGCCAGTTTGGATTCAGGAAAAATAAAAGCACTAATGATGCAATCATAAAAATGCTAGATCTGCTTTACCACAGCATTGGAAAATAAGGAATATCCACTAGGAATTTTTATTGACCTAAGAAAAGCTTTTGACACAGTAAACCACGAAATCCTACTCCACAAACTTGACCACTATGGTATAAGAGGCCATGCGCTTGCTTATTTCAAATCTTACATTACTAATAGGTATCAGTACGTCACCATTAAAGACACAGCATCAGCAACACGGCCACTTGATACTGGAGTTCCACAGGGAAGTGTCCTTGGTCCCCTGCTCTTCCTCATATACATCAATGATCTTCCAAACGTATCCCAACACCTGAAACCCATTCTCTTTGCTGATGACACGACTTATGTCATCTCTCACCCTAATCTTGCCACCCTCAACACCATTGTGAATGAGGAGCTGATTAAAATATCGACTTGGATGACAGCCAATAAACTTACGCTTAACACTGACAAAACTTACTATATTATGTTTGGTAGCAGAGCAGGAGATGCACAAATTAACATTAAGATTGACAACACTCTAATTACCAGAAATAATGGGGGAAAATTCCTAGGCTTATACCTTGACAACAACCTGAATTTCAGCACCCATATCCAGCATATAGCCAAAAAAGTATCCAAAACGGTTGGGATCCTCTCCAAGATACGATACTACGTGCCGCAAAATGCCCTTCTCACACTATACCACTCACTTATTTATTCATACCTCACCTATGCTATTTGTGCTTGGGGATCAACTGCAGCAACACACCTAAAGCCAATAATAACCCAACAAAAAGCTGCAGTAAGAATAATCACTAAATCCCATCCCTGGCAGCACACCCCCCCACTCTTCAAAGATCTAAACTTACTCCCAGTTCAGTACATCCACACTTACTACTGTGCAATCTATATCTACAGGGCCTTAAACTCTAATATCAACCTTGACCTAAAACGCTTTCTTGATAGTTGTGACAGAACCCACAGGCATAACACCAGACACAAACATCTCTACGACATTCCCCGTGTCCGACTAAACCTTTACAAAAATTCAATGTATGTCAAAGGCCCTAAAATCTGGAATACCCTACCTGAGAACTCTAGAACTGCAGACACATTCATCACCTTCAAAACTACCATTAGAAAACATCTTATCTCCCTGATACACCCCGTCAACTAACTACACAAATACCACCTGGTGGTTCACACTTACACTCGCTCACTCATTTGACCATAAACAGAAATATTAATCTCAGTCTTAAAATAATGAATCCTGTGATACTCCAATACTGAAACTATATACTGTGCCAAAACAAAAGCATTCACATTGCTAAACTCATGAACTAGTATTTAGTCACTTAGCCATAATACCAACTTACCTCATAATTTGTAATATTTTACATTTAAGAATAAAACTAAGTATGCCCGAAATGCCTAGCCATGCTAAGCGTTCTAGTGGTACACTCTGTAATCACAATTTTACTACATGTAAACCAAACAATAACCAAATTTCTGTAAACTCAGCATTTTAATCCTTATAGAGAATAAACTTTGAATTTGAATTTGAATTTGAATGTTACAGAATTGTTTCCCTTTACTTAGGGCATATGTTACAGAACATTCTGGCAGGATGACACTACCATTGGTATCAAAATTGAAAGGATGTTACACAATGGTTATTTTCAAGGTTTTTAACATTTCTTCGGTATCTCCTGTGAGTGGCGGCGTATCTGAAGCATGCTTGTAACTCAGATTTTGGCTTGCAACTCAAAGCAAAAATCGACCAAGCGACAGCTCGTAACTCAGAAAAACCATAAGTTGGGGAACTTGTAAGCGAAGGTACCACTGTATTCTGATGCAATAAAACAATGTTCACAAGTTTTAGGGACCCCAAAAATTTCAAGGATACCAATGGAATTAGTCACTGTCTGATGTTTTTGGGTTATCCTAGGTAATTTACACATGGTAAACTAGGTATGATAATTGTACTTATGTGTAACTGTACCTAAATAAACTTACTTACAAAGTTAGTTTTCAAGCTGTTTAAAATAATACGTCACCCATTCATACAACAATGGTAATAAACATTTTTCATTTTCAGTTTTCATAAGGCAAAAGGCTCATTCCATTATAAAATATAGGTAATAGCAATATAAATGTGACTTTATAAAAACAAAATCTGTGGAAACAAAGCACACTGGCATGCAGTTTAAGTGAAGCAATGAAAATGTACTGAAGCAAATAACTGAAAGATTCATTATCAAGAATGATTCATTATCAAGAACAGTGGAAGCTGGGAAGTGTATTTGAGGGCAGAATGAGGGGACAATGTCTTTGATGTTCTGAATTACCTTGGGATTGTAGTGGCCTGGTCCTGCTCTCTCTTCTGCTGCACTCCTGAGACATATCTACAAGACCACCTCCATCAAAACTCCAGCAAGGAGGCTACCAACCCTAAGGTCCTTTGCTCTCATAATTGTTAATAATTGTTCACACTGAATTTTTAATGTGTTACAAGAATCATAAATGGTTCACTCCTGAGCAATATCAAGATTATCTTTTCAAAGTATGAACATGGATGATGGTTAATTTACTTTGACGTTAATCATGAATGTATCAGCAAATAAAAGTTTTTAAGTTATTTACTAATAAAGCAGATAATATTTGATTATGTGCCAATATTAATATAAAAAAAGAAAACTCAACTTCAAATGGAGTCTTTCTTCAGCTAAAAAGATAAAAGGACCTTAAGATTGTCTAAATGCATGCAATCACCATTCAGCTACAGAAACCTGGTATGGTCTACTTTCAAAGGCAATTCATTTGAGTTAAGATAAATGTAGCATCAATAGAACAAAGGAAAAGTTGGATCCATATATTGTAGACATCAAAAATTAACATCAGTCTAGTTAGTAAAGTCAAACTACTAGAGCATCAGTAAATGATGATGAAACAAGCTTAACAGTTGTAATTATTACTGTATAATGAGAAAGGTTATCTAGTGCCATACTAGGCTCTGTAAATACATAAACAGCTAACAGTTGAAGATTTGAACTACTAAACACTCTAGAAGACCTTATATCATCTACGCATTCAACTCATTTGTAAATTAAGTAGTAACATTAGCTTCCAACATTCCACTGACTACACATACAGTATTATCATGTGCATCATCTAATCTATGAGTGCCATATCAACAGGAAGTGCAATGTGCTAGTGTAATATGCAGACACACACTGCAGACAGTAACAAGACATACTATAACATTTATATAGAGCACACAACTTCCTTTTATGGTTATATTGTTATACATGAAGGAGGAATCTTCTAAAAAACAGTACCTTGAAAGACTGTCAGCTCACTATCAATTTATTCACAGAAAATGAAGTACTGTATATTAATTTAAAAATAAATATTATAATGAGATCTAAAAAGTAACCAAAATAAACAAAATTAGCCTTTATTTATATAATCTGCTTCCCTAATAATGCAATGAATAACCTAATATGAAAATTGATATACCTAACAATAAAATACTGATTTCACTCAATATTCTCATGAAACAGTACAAAGAAATTACCTTGTACAATATATGCATTTCAGAAATTTTGTAAAATTTATAGCATCAAAAAATAATAAGAGTAACATCTACCAGTATTGTTTTGTGTTAATACTATTTTTAATTTTAAAATCTGTTTATATACTGTAATTGATAAGACTATAAAATTTTTTATATAAATACAACATCTGAACAAAATTATTTGCAATTATTTGAACTTACAAATGAAATATGTTGTGTATATTTTGCTTTTTCATTATTTTTTACATGGTTAAAGAGGACAAACCTGTACTTACATATTAATTTCCATTTCCCTTGGGCAAGTTAACTGTGAAATAAACTTGTATCACCATAACAATATTATCACAATAACTATAAATACTTGAATCACTATAAATCTAAGTGACTACATCATTGATGAGGGTAGTGTTGGTAATTTTGGTTATACCATCCTCATGCTCAGTGATGTACAGTGGCTGTAAAATGCTCTACTTGTAAATGAGGAAATTTACATGCTAGCAGTTTATCTCTATTGCAAATTGGATCCCTGAAAGGGAGTGTCTTGATGATAGAGAAAGGCTCTTAATCCAAGGAACTGGAAATACAGTTCATTCCTTCATCAAAGACAAAACTAGGCTGAGGGAATGATTACTTCATCTTCCACTGTCTGCTGCATACATTTCCACAGTCTTCATATTATGTAAGTGTAATATACAGTGGTCCCTCGCTTTTCGTAGTTCTCGGCAATCGTAAATTTCGCCAATCATAGGGGTATTTTCGTATAAACATGGACTCGCTTTTCATAGGTTGACTCGCGAATAGTAGTTCGTCCAGGTCGCTTACGCACAGTGTGAGCCGGGGAGGCCTCCCTACCCAGCCAATCTGGCATTGTTTACCAGTGAGTGAAGGTCCCCTCAAGTGCTCCTACGAAATATTTCATAATATTCCACTCATTTTAGTGCTTGCAAGTACTGCTACTTCTACTTACACTTAGGTCAAACTATACATGCATGTACACACATATATGTACACACCAAGTAGCGACCAGTGAAGAGGCAGGGCCAGGAGCTGTGACTCAACCCCTGCAACCACAACTAGGTGAGTACCTATCTGGGTTTTCTTCTATTTTCTTAACAGTTCATATTCATTATTTCCTCATATCTCCATGGGGAAGTGGAAAAGAATTCTTCCTCCGTAAGCCATGTGCGTCATAAGAGGTGACTGAAATGCCGGGAGCAAGGGGCTAGTAACCCCTTCTCCTGTATAAATTACCAACTTTAAAAAGAAAAACTTCAGTTTTTCTTTTTGGGTCACCCTGCCTCGGTGGGATGCAACCAGTTTGTTTAGAGAGAAAAAAATTATTAATAATGCTTATTAAGTCAAGATTGCATAACTATGTAGATGCAATTACAATTATCCCTAGAACCTACAGGAACATTAATTGTAATTAGCTAGGTAAAATATAGTATTATTTAAACATATACAGCACTGCATAATTGTACTGTGAAGCTCAGATCTAATGCTGGTGATATTCAGCACAGTACAGGTGTTACAAAAAAAAAAAAAATAATGAGTTTACTCCTTCCGACTCCTAAGCTTCACTGGAGTTTGTTAGGTTACTGAGATTTATACTCCTCAACTGAAAAAACTTTGTTATTTATATATGTAAATGCCCCTTGCTGACCTATGCACACCACTAACAAAACTTCAAGCCTCAAAACTACAATGAATAAGTACGATCCTTTGTCTTTTTGATGTACAGCGCAGTTGGTAACTGTACTCTTGAGCCGATGATTGAATCCTTTGGTATTAGTTCTTTGGTTTGTTACTAATTCCCTATCACTGCTAAAGTAATTTTACATTAAGTTCAGGTAAGACTTAATCTATATAGACATAAATTTAACTTGAATAACTCATTTTTCCCACTAGAAAACAAATAAGTTCCCAAACCAGAAGCATCAGCTAACAATTTTGTGTGAATGTGAGTGTGAATCATAGAAGGTAAAATATAAATTATTCATGTGAGTGAGTACTGACCTGAACCAGTCCACATTGGCTTTAGGTTGAGGAAGTCTGACATAAGCAGTGCTCTGGTGAGGGGCAAGATCAACCATCACATCACTTGGGCACTGGATGAATGGCTTCAATGTATCTGTTGATAAGAGCACAGAATTTTAGCAAGTTAGCTGGTATTTTGTAAAAAGCCAGGAAAAATTTTACTAATTATTTTATAATTGTTTAGTACATGATATCCTGATTTGTAAAGCACTCCCCCTCCCCCCCCCCCCCTCAAAAAAAAAAAATCCAGTTTTCAGAAACATGTCAAAAAAAAAAATAGGAGTGGCAAGTTAGGACTTTTTATTTATTTTTTAATTGCTACTGTTCTGATCAAACATGACATGTCAACATGACTATGTTGACATGTCATGTTTACAGACACCTGTAAAAGTACATTAGAAAATATACTTTTACAGGTGTCTGAAGGCTACTAATGAATGTGAATGGTAGTACTGTACTGTCCTACAGTACAATGGACCCTCGTTTTTCGTAATTAATCTGTTCCAGAAAGTGTGACTATTTCCAAAATTGACAATTTTCGAAACCATTTTCCCCATAAGAAATTATGTAAATACAATTAGTCCATTCCAGACACCTAGAAGTATTAAAACAAATTATTTTTTTTACATGAAATATAGATGTAGTACATACACAATACAGTGGGACATGATGAGACATTAACAGCATAACACTTACCTTTATTGGCGATTCTTCTTAGTGTATGGAAGACTGGAGGAGGGGAGAGACTGGATTATTTACTGTTTGGAAGGGGAATCCCCCTCCATCAAGACCTCAAGTACCAAGTCCTTTTCTGGGGTTACTTCTCTTCTCTGTTTCTTAATGCCACTAGGACCAGCTTGAGAGTCACTGGAGCCCTGTCTCGCAAAAAAAGTGTACAGAGAGCTCTGTTTCTGGCGTCTCTTTAAATCTTCCCTAAAATGAGCCAAGACTTTGTCACTGTACATGTTGCTGACATGGCTTGCAACAGCTTTGTCAGGGTAATGTTTCTCCATAAATCTTTCCATCCTACCCCACATTTCAAAAATCTCCTTAATTTCTGAAGAAGGCAACTTCTTCCATCTCTCTTCCTCCTTCTCTGCAGCAATATTCTGAGCTGTAGTCTGTTGCTGTTCCAGCTGAAGCTCTTGCAGCTCCTCAGTGGTTAGCTCTTTGTTGTGGTCCTCCACCAACTCTTCCACATTTTCCAAACTCACATCCAACCCCATGGAACTCCCCAATGCCACAATAGATTCCACAACTGCCATAGGCTGTTCAGGGTCAGTCCCAAACCCTTCAAAATCCCTCTTGTGGACACAATCTGGCCACAATTTTCTCCAAGCAGAGTTCAAAGTCCTGGTAGTCACTCCCTCCCAAGCCTTACCTATAAGGCTTATGCAATGGAGGATACTGAAGTTATCCTTCCAAAACTCTCTTAGGGTCAAGTGAGTGTCTGATGACACATTAAAGCACCATTGAAACATTGCTTTTGTGTAGAGTTTTTTAAAGATTGAACTGATCTGTTGGTTCATGGGCTGGAGGAGAGGAGTGGTATTAGGGGGCAAGAACTGTACTGTGATGAACTCACACTCCTCCAGAATTAGGTCATCCAAGTTTGGAGGATAAGCAGGTGCACTGTCCATTAGCAGGAGGCACTCGAGATCAAATTTATTTTCCAGGAGGTAATTCTTCACACTGGGGCCAAACACTCCATTGAACCACTCAACAAAAATTTCCCTCGTGACCCATGCCTTATTAATAGCTTTCCAAAACACAAACACTTTACTCTTCGTAACACTGTTTTTCTTGAACGCTCTGGGATTTTCAGAATGGTACACTAATAATGGCTTCACTTTGAAATCCCCACTAGCATTACTACAAAACATGAGCATCAGCCTGTCTTTCATTTGATTGGGTCACAGGTTAAACATTTATGAGATACAATTATTCAGTATTTATTTAGTTGTGGGTGAGTAATGATTTTAAGAAGAGACTTGAATTTATAAACAGTGTTTCTTTTATATTCACAGGTAATGAATTCCAGATTTTTGGGCCTTTTATGTGCATTGAGTTTTTGCATAGTGTGAGATGGACACGAGGAACATCAAAGAGCGATCTGTGCCTTGTGTTATGGTCATGTGTTTTGTTGAGGTTGGTAAAGAGACGTTTGAGGGAGGGTTTATATCCAAGTTAAGTGTTATATGTATGAAGTAGGTACAATAATAAGTATGGATGTTTTGTATGGTGAGTAGGTTTAGAGTTTTGAATATTGGTGGAGTGTGCTGCCTGTAGTGGGAATTTGTTATTCTGACTGCAGCCTTTTGTTGGGTAATTAATGGTCTGAGATGGTTTATTGTTGTTGAGCCCCATGCACAAATTCCAGAGGTGAGATAGGGGTAAATAAGTGAGTGATATAGGCTTGTGTCCTGGCAGTCCCTTTTCCTCCTGAGTAATGTAGGTCCTCTATGGCATTTTCTTCCAAAAGAGGCCTGTTTCGTCACAATTGAACATTTGTTGTGGTTTTAATTGTTCAGTCTGTATGTACTCCTTGAATTCACTTACAAATTTTGTAGATGCAATTTTGCTCGAACTGGCAGCCTCGCCATGCCTTATCACACTGTGTATGCCACTACGGTTCTTAAATCTCTTAAATCAGCCTTTGCTGGCTTTAAATTCACAAATATTAGTACTCGTTGCAGGCAATTTCTTTACGAGATCGTCATGCAACTGCCTAGGCTTTTCACAAATAAGCGACTGCATAAGACTATCTCCTGCTAATTGTTTCTCGATGATTCACACCAACAATAACTTCTCAACATCTTCGAGTACTGGCGATCTCATTTTTGTCAGCATATTTACCCCCTTTAAGTGGAACAGAATTCTTCTTCCGTAAGCCATGCGTGTTGTAAGAGGCGACTAAAATGCCGGGAGCAAGGGGCTAGTAACCCCTTCTCCTGTATATATTACTAAATTTAAAAAGAGAAACTTTAGTTTTTTCTTTTGGGCCACCCCACCTCAGTGGGATACGGCTGGTATGTTGAAAGAAAGAAGAAGAAAGATTTACCCCCTTTGCAACAACAGCTTCCTTGATTTCCTTTTTCTTGGCCACAATGAAAGCTATGGTTGTATGGGGTTTCTTATACATCCTGGCCAGTTCGGCCACACGTACGCCATTTTCATATTGTTCAATGAAGTTTTTCTTGAATTCAATCGTATTTCTCACCTTCTTTACCAAAAGAATGGCACTAGGAGCTTTCTTTGGAGCCATGGTAGCTTATTTAGCAGTTGCAAGGACTAAAATGAATGAAATACTATGAAATATTTCATATGAACAAGTGAGGGAACCGTCACTCACTGGTAAACAATGCCACACTGGCTAGGAAGGGAGTGGGAGGCGGCTCGGGGCTGTGAGTACGCGTCCGGGACGAATGACTATTTGCGAGTCAAACGATGATTCGCGAGTCAATGTTTAGAAGAAAAAAAGTTACGATTTCCAAAAATTACAACTTTTGAGCCTTACGATTATCGAGGGTCCGCTGTATTCATCCCAAATAACTTGATATTCAAAGTGATGAATTCTAAAATTTGTATCAGCTTTTATAGTTGAACCATTTACATGGTACTCCTATCAACAGGTTCCTGTTCTATCAAGGTGTGCAATTTACTCTGACATTTTTGTCAGCATATATATACCATATTATTATTATATATTATTATTACTTCTACTTACACTTAGGTCACACTACACATACATGTACACATTTATTTATACACACTCATCTGAGTTTTCTTTGATTTTATCTTAATAGTTCTTGGTCTTATTAATTTTCCTTTTATATCCATGGGGAAGTGGAATAAGAATCTTTCCTCCGTAAGCCATGCGTGTTGTAAAAGTCAACTAAAATGCCGGGAACAATGGGCTAGTAACCCCTTTTCCTGTAAAGATTACTAAAAAGAATAAGAAAAAAAAAATTGTCAAAGTGGGAAGTCTGAATGTGCGTGGATGTTGTGCAGATGATAAGAAAGAGATGTTGTGGATGTTATGAATGAGAAGAAGCTGGATGTCCTGGCTTTAAGTGAAACAAAGCTGAAGGGGGTGGGAGGAGTTTCAGTGGAGAGGAATAAATGGGGGTTAGGTCAGGGGTTTCAAATAGAGTTAGAGCTAAAGAAGGAGTAGCAATAATGTTGAAGGATAAGCTAGGCAGGAAAAGAGGGACTATAAATGTATTAATTCAAGGATTATGTGGAGTAAAATAAAGATTGGATGTGAAAAGTGGGTTATAATAAGCGTGTATGCACCTGGAGAAGAGAGAAGTGTAGAGGAGAGAGAGAGATTTTTGGGGAAAAGTTGAGTGAATGCGTGGGGAGTTTTTGAATCAAGTGTGAGAGTAATGGTGGGTTGGGGATTTTAATGCTAAAGTGGGTAAAAAAAGGGTTATGGAGGGAGTAGTAAAGGGAAATTTGGGGTGCCAGGGTAAATGTAAATGGGGAGCCTTTAATTGAGCTATGTGTTTGAAAGAAATTTGGTAATAAGTAATACATATTTTATGAAAAAGAGGATAAATAAATATAAAGGTATGATGTAGCACGTAATGAAAGTAGTTTATTAGAATTAGTATTGGTTTGGGTAAAAGGTTGATGGGTAGGCTCCCGGAGTACATTTTTATAGAGGGGGAACTGATATACGTCATTATTTAGTTTTTAGCTACAGTTTAAATAAGGGAATGGGGGAAAAAAAAGGGAAAGGGGGAACAACAATAAAGGGAGGTGAAAGTGTATAAAATAAGGGGGGAGGAAATTCGGGTGGATAAAGCGACTATTGGCAGAAAAGGTGGGCAGTGCAAAGATGAGTATGGGGGGTTGAAGAGGGTTGGAATAGTTTTAAAAAAGCGGTATTGAAAGTGGGGGGAGAAGTTTGCGGGTTTTAGGAGGGTGGGGGGGAGGAGGGAAAAAGGGGGTGATTGGTGGAATGTGAAGTAAAGGGGGGTGAAAAAGAGAAAAAAGGGAGCTTTTGAGAGGTTTTTTTCAAAGCAGAAGTGTTATAAGAAACAGAGTAATGGAGAGTAAAAAAAAGGGAAAGAGAGTGGTGAGAGAGTGCAAAAGGGAAGGGGAAAAGATAGATGGGAAGGCACTGTCAAAAATTTAATGAAATAAAAAAAAATTTTTTGGGGTAGTTAAACAAGTTAAGAAAGCCGGGAAAAATGGTTTGTCAGTTAAAAAAAAGTAGGGAGTTTTTAAGGGGGGATGGGGGTATTGGGTAGATGCGAGAATATTTTGAGGAAATTTTAAATGTTAAGGGAAAAACAGAGGGAGTAATTTCTGCATGGTCAGGGGGTTTTACCATCTTTTTGGAGTGAAGAAAAAGGCAAAAAAATAAGTGTGGGGGGGGGTACGTGAGGGATTACTAAAATGAAAGGGGGGAAAGCAGTGAACTGATGGATCAGACAGAAAATTTTAAAAACAGGGGGGTTATGTTGGGGTGGTTTGGTACTTTTGTTTTAAAAAATGTAGAAAAGGGGAAGGGACCTAGGGTTGGCAAAGCATGTATAGTCCCCCTTTTTTAAAGGGAAAGGGGACAAAAAGAGACTTAAAAATTTTTAGAGGGGAAAAACTTTCTTAGTATACCCCGGGAAAAAGGGACGGGAGGGTTATAATTGAAAGAATTAGAGGTAAAACAGAAAGTAGGATTTCGGATGAGCAAAGGGGTTTTTGAGTGGGTAGGGGGTGTGTGATCAGGTGTTTTAAATTTAAGCATATATGTGAACATATTTAATAAGATAGGGGAAGTTTTTATGCATTATGGATTTGAAAAGGAAATTTATAGAGGGATAGAGGGGCAATGTGGCAGATGTTGCAAGTTTTGGAATAGGGTAAGTTATTAAATGCTGTAAAATTTTTATGGGATGTGAGCTCAGGGAGGGTTGTAGAAGAGAGGGAACTACTTCCCGGAAAAGTAGGTCTTTGACAGGGATGGTAATGTCACCATGGGGTTTTTAAAAATTTATAGATGGGGTTTTAAAGGAAGTAAAAGCTGGGGGGTCGGAGAGGGTGGGATTAAATTATGGGGGGAAACAAATTCAAAAAGGGAATTGACACAGTTACTTTTGTAGATACGTGCTTATGGGAGATTCAAAGAAAAAAAAGCAAAGGTTGTGGATGAGTTTGGGAATGTGTGTAAAGGAGAAAGTTTAAAGGAACATGAAAAAAGTAAAGGGGATGAGGGGTCAAAAGATTTAGATAAAGAAAAAATTTGGAAAATCAAATTGGGGGAGAGGATTGGAAGAAGGAATTTTTAGATACTTTTGGGGGTTGAGTGTCGGGGGAAGGATTTTAGAAAAGGATGAGGTTAATCATAAATTGAGAGGGAAAAAAGGGGAGTGTGCGTTAGGTATAGTGGGTCAAAAAAAATTTATCTATGGAGGCAAAGAAAGGGGAAAGTATGAAAGTATAGTAGTACCAACATTTTTATGGGTTGAAGCTTGGGGGGTAAATGCAGAACGAGGAGCGGGTTTGGGGCAGCGGGGATGTCCTGTTTAAGGGGAATGTGTGGTGTAATATTTTTGCAAAAAAATTTGGAGTTTGGGGGAAAAGGAGAAGGTGTGGAGTTTAAAAAAGTATTGTCAAGGGCAGAAGGGGGGTTGTTGAGGTGGTTTTTGGGCATTTTGAGAAATGGACACAGTAGAATGACATGGAAGCATATAAATCTTAGGGGAAGGGGGCGGGGTAGGGGGTCGTCCTCGAAAAGGGTTGGAGGAGGGGGTAAAAAGGGGTTTTGTGGGAAGGGGCTTGGGCTTCCAGCAAGGTGCGTGAGCGGTTTGAAGGGGTGAAAGGAGACGAATGGTACTTGGGACCTGACATCTGTTGGGGTGTGGGAGGGGGAATATTTATGAAGGGATTCGGGGAAACCGGGTTTTTTTCAATAGTCGGACTTGAGTCCTGGGAAAGGGAAATAAATGCCTGCACTTTAAAGGAGGGGTTTGGGATATTTTCAGTTTGGAGGGGTATTTGTGTATCTTTAATGTTTATTCTTCTAAATGTTGTATCTGAGCCCTCTGCAAAAAAAGTGAAATGTGCAGTGTGGGAAAGTGTTGAATGATAAAAAAAGTATTTTCTTTTGGGGGTTTTCTTTCTTTTTTTTGGGCACCCTGCCTCGGTGGGAGACGGCCGACTTTTGAAAAAAAAAAAAAAAAAAAAAATAGGTTCAATACCTTGTTTTTTTGTCTTCATGGTAATGATATTTCTGATCCTGATTTACTTGAAGCCATCAGAAGGGCAAATGTATCTCTGATTTTTAAACAAAGGCTCTGTGCACAGTGGAAATTCTGTTTCAGGCTCAGAAAGGCATGACATAGGGACAAACTTGTATCCAAAAGCAGGTTGAACATGCCCTCTGGCACTATTTACAGTGCATAATATCACCATTTGTTGGTTCTGTTCTGGGTCCTTTCTGTAGTTTCTTAGCCGTGAAGCATTTCCTAGCATTGCCAGATGAATTTAACCCTTTGAGGGTCGACAGGCCCTCTCAGAAACTCGTTCTCAGGGTCGGCCAAATTTAAAAAAAAAATAATTTTTTCTTATGAAAAGATAGAGAATCTTTTCCCGATCATAATGACACCAAAATTATGAGATTTGATGGAAAACTTACGGAATTATGCTCTCGCAAAGTTAGTGGTCTCGGCGATGTTTACGCATCGGCGATTTTGCCCACTTTGAGCCATTTTCGGCCAATTCCACTGTACTAGTCGACAAAAAACATGAATATTTCGCTAGAACTACATTTTTTCTATTGAATAAGTGCAAGAAACCACCCATTTACCATTCTCAACTATCCAATACAGTGGTCAGAATTTAGCAATTTTGCCAATTTTACACAAATTTCAAAAAATGCCAATTTCCGAATAGGGTCCAGAACAAACAAGAAATACATTCCTGGCACTAAAATGATATTTCCTCTGTTCATTAGTCACGTCTCAAGGCCCCTCTTACATTCTTTTGCTTTCCACTTTGAATTAATAAAAATTCAAAGTGGAAAGCAAAAAATAGAAGATTTACTGTTATGCAGACTACTGCATTAGTGTAAAAATGGTATAAATCATATTGGCACACTTACAAAAGAATATTAGACTCACCAGTTGACGTGTATTGGACACTTGGCATGATTTGTTTACTTTTGAACTTTGGTAAAAATCGAACATTTCTGCTACTTTGAGCTCAATTTCAAGGTACTTTTCATTGTAAAACCAGTCAAATTATCTCAATTTCTTTTGATATCCCTTTCCCATTCTATAAAATGAGACCAAGAAAACTAGAATACAACAATAAATACCATACGAAAATACAATGCAAAGTTGCTGTTTTATTCCAAAAAAACGGTCAAAGTTTTTTTTTTCTCATTATGCACTGTGTGCTGCAGGATTTTTTTTATACTGTGCACACTGACCACATAGACCCATTCTTTCATATGGAGGCCTACCAGCCTTTTCCCGCGAGATTTGACGGCGCTAGAATTTATGCGTACTAGTACGTCAAAAACCCCTGCGCGTAAGACGTACTAGTACGTCCGAAACCCTCAAAGGGTTAAGTTTGATTCAAAAACACTATTTTCATGTGCCAAGAAATGCAGGATTTTATTTCACTGGATTATATTGGAGAAGATGGCTACACCACTGGTGCAATATGTAACTGAATCTCAGTTATTTCCTTTCAAGTTTTAAAGAATAAGGCAAGACAAACACCATCACCTGCCATTATTCGCCTGCTAGCTATTCACCACCACTCACCTCTGACCATACAGAATGCTATCCTATATATGCAAGTGTTAAACAACTTTTGTATTGTATGTGAACTAAACTAAGGGTCAAATTTTCATTCCTGAATATTTTCTTTCTTCCTTAAGTGATGTAGGTAATCTGCCCTTGCAAGGCACCAGCAATAGTTCATAAAAAGTATGATGAATACTAAGTGCTTTTTGTGTGCAAGACAAGTTTTGGTCAAGGTTACTCCTTATGTAGTGTATATTGTAGCTATAATTTGCAGACTTGCCTAATGATTATAAGTTAATATACAAATAATTTTAAGTGTTCATGTATTAACTTGAATTGTATAAAAAACCAAATCAAATAAAGTAAATTCAATAACCTTTTTCACAATAGGGGCTGGGAGACTCTGGCGACCATGTGCCGCTGGGCTGACATGTACGGACTGGATTACCAACTACACGAAATCCAGATGAACATGATAAATAACAGTGTTGACCCACAACTGATGTGCGGCGAATGCATCTCTTTGGAGACACTCTTCCATGCTCTACCTCTGCTAACATTGAACATTTCACAGCTGTACACCAAAGACAAAATAACAGAAAATGATGGTCTTTAATGTCATTGCCATATCAGGATTTATAAAAAAAAGCACACAGGAAAACAATAAAATTATATAGTTTATGATACCATATACAGTAATATTGTACAAACTATTCTTCAAATGCTGTGCTTTTACCTTGACATGTGACAGCATTATTGGACCACATTCCAGTATTAAGGCAAGTTGTGTTGGGATTACCATGGAGTGCTGCACTCTCAGAGCAAGTGAAGAAGCAAGTGGTCCCCAGAGGGTATGCTTCACCCACCAGGTGCTCTGAGCAAGTCATTTCACCATGTAAAGGTGCGACAATTACTGGGCAAAACACTGGCTTATCTAAAAAAAAAAAAAAATTGTGTTAGAGATCTCAATACAAGTTGATAGAGTGGGGTACAACTTTATTAACTATTACAGTTAAACTACATAAATAAATTGAGAAAAGACACTTATGTGAACTCTTGATTTAACAGACCAATGGTGGGGAGGGGGTGTTCATTAAAGACAATTATTCATTAAATCCCAATTATGGGAATTTTTGTTTTTTAATGAACTGGCCATATCCCACCGAGGCAGGGTGACATAAAAAGAAAGACAAAAAATTTTCTTTTTAAATTTAGTAATTTATACAGAAAAAGGAGTTGCCAACCCCTTGCTCCTGGCATTTTACACACCTCTTACAATATGCATGGCTTATAGAGGAAGAGTTCTTTTCCACTTCCCTGTAGAGATAAGAGGAAATAAAGAACAAGAACTATAAAGAAAATAGCAGAAAACCCAGATGGGTGTGTAAATATGTATGTGTACATGCATCTACTTACCTAGTTGTGGTTGCAGGGGTTGAGTCATAGCTCCTGGCCCCGCCTCTTCATTGGCCACTATCGGGTCACTCTCCCTGAACCATGAGTTTTATCATACCTCTGCTTAAAGCTATGAATGGATCCTGCCTCCACTACATAGCTTCCCAAACTATTCCACTTCCTGACTACCCTGTGACTGAAGAAATACTTTGTAACATCCCTGTGATTCATCTGTGTCTTCAACTTCCAATTGTGTCCCCTTGTTGCTGTGTCCCATCTCTGAAACATTCTGTCTCTGTCCACCTTGTCAATTCCTCTCAGTATTTTATATGTCATTATCATATCCCCCCCTCACTCTCCTGTCCTCCAGTGTCATCAGGGCAATTTCCCTTAACCTCTCCTCGTAGGACATAACCCTTAGCTCTGGGACTAGTCTTGTTGCAAACCTTTGCACTTTCTCTAGTTTCTTTATGTGCTTGGCTAGATGTGGGTTCCAAACTGGTGCCACATACTCCAATATGGACCTAACGTACACAGTGTACAGGGTCCTGAATGATTCCTTATTAAGATTGCGAAATGCTGTTCTTAGGTATGCTAGGTGCCCATATGCTGCAGCAGTTGTTTGGTTGACGGGTGCCTCAGGAGACGTGCCTAGTGTTATGCTCACCCCAAGATCTTTTTCCTTGAGTGAGGTTTGTAGTCTCTGGCCCCCTAGACTATACTCCATCTGCAGTCTTCTTTCCCCTTCCCCAATCTTCATGACTTTGCACTTGGTGGGGTTGAACTCCAGGAGCCAATTGCTGGACCAGGCCTGCAGCCTGTCCAGGTCCCTTTGTAGTTCTGCCTTGTCCCCGTCCGATTGAATTCTTCTCATCAACATCACGTCGTCTGCAAACAGGGACACTTCAGAGTCTATTCCTTCCGTCATGTCGTTCACAAATACCAGAAACAGCACTGGTCCTAGGACTGACCCCTGTGGGATCCCGCTAGTCACAGGCGCCCACTCTGACACCTCGCCACGTACCATGACTTGCTGCTGTCTTCCTGACAGGTATTCCCTGATCCATTGTAGTGTCTTCCCTGTTATCCCTGTGTGGTCCTCCAGTTTTTGCACTAATCTCTTGTGCAGAACTGTGTCAAATGCCTTCTTACAATCCAAGAAAATGCAATCTACCCACCCCTCTCTCCCTTGTCTTAATGCTGTCACCCTGTCATAGAACTCCAGTAGGTTTGTGACATAGGATTTCCCATCCCTGAAACCATGTTGGCTGTTGATGATAAGCTCATTTCTTTCTAGGTGTTCCACCACTCTTCTGATAATCTTCTCCATAACTCTGCATACTATACATGTCAGTGACACTGGTCTATAGTTTAGTGCTTCTTGTCTGTCTCCTTTTTTAAAAATTGGAACTACATTTGCTGTCTTCCATACCTCAGACAATCTCCCTGTTTCGACAGATGTGTTGAATATTGCTGTTAGGGCCTCTGCGCCCTCTCTCAGGACCCACGTAGAGATGTTTTCCGGCCCAATGCCTTTGAGGTATCTAGCTCGCTCAGCAGCCTCTGCACTTCTTCCTCGGTTGTATGTATTGTGTCCAACACTTGGTGGTGTACCCCACCTCTCCGTCTTTCTGGAGTCCCTTCTGTCTCCTCTGTGAACACTTTTTTGAATCTCATGTTGAGTTCCTCACATACTTCTCGGTCGTTTCATATGATCTCTCCTCCTTCCTTCCTTAGCCTGATTACCTGGTCCTTGACTTTTGTTTTCCTCCTGATGTGGCTGTACAACAGTTTCGGTTCAGATTCGACTTTTGCTGCTATGTCATTTTCATATTGTCGTTGGGCCTCCCTTCTTCCCTGTGCATGTCCATTTCTGGCTCTACGACTACTCTCCTTATTCTCCTGGGTCCTTTGCCTTCTATACTTCTTCCATTAACTAGCACACTTGGTTTTGGCCTCCCTGCACCTATGGGTGAACCACAGGTTCACCCTGGCTTTTTCATTATTCCTGTTACCCTTGGGTACAAACCTCTCCTCAGCTTCCTTGCATATTGTTGCCACGTATTCCATCATCTCATTTACTGATTTCCCTGCCAGTTCTCTGTCCCACTGAATCCCATTCAGGAAGTTCTTCTTGTAGTTTGGCTTTATTTGTCTGGCTCTTCCTGCTCCCCCTCCACTTGTAACTCTGTGTACGTATTTGAATCTTAAAACCACATGATCGCTGGCCCCAAGGGGTCTTTCATATGTGATGTCCTCAATATCTGCACTACTCAAGGTAAATACTAGGTCCAATCTTGCTGGTTCATCCTCTCCTCTCTCTCTGGTCGTGTCCCTTATGTGTTGGTGCATGAAGTTTTCCAGTACCACCTCCATCATCTTAGCCCTCCACGTTTCTTGGCCCCCATGTGGTTCCAAGTTTACCCAATCGATTTCCTTGTGGTTGAAGTCACCCATGATCAGTAGTTTTGCCCTGCTCGCATGAAGCCTTCTTGCCACTTCAGCCAGTGTGTTACCATTGCTTTATTATTCTCATTATACTCTTTATTTGGCCTCCTGCTATTCTGTGGTGGGTTATACATCACTGACTTAAGCATAAGTAGAAGTAGCAAGATACACCTGTTATCCCGTGTGTTAAAATTATGAGAATATTTTTAAAATAATCGTAACAGTAATGGACAATTCTGCTAAGTCGGAAAATAAATTTACCCAGAGGAACACAACAAAATGCAACAATTAAAGAAATTTGGCCAATAAATCCAAAATTAATTTACCCTAGACTGAAAGATAATGTACAATTCTCGATTTAATGAACTTTCTTCAATGCTTCCGAATACTGTCTGGCCACATATTTTGTCCATTAAATCTGAAACATGCTCAATTGGGGTCAGTTAAATTGAGGCTTTATTGTACAAATTCATAGGGGTTAAGTTTCTAGATGTACTGCAAATTCAAAACTAGTGAATAACATAATATTCAGCCAATATAAAGTTTTAGAGGCCATCTCTCTAAAATGTTGCCTTAACATCATTAATAGTGACATTCATATGCAAGAATGTCTAAAATGTAAAAGCATTTTAGGTGTGGGAAATCCAGTGAGCAGATTTTGAATAAATAATATGAATGGTCTTTAATTTAGGGGTACAAAGTGTACAAAGCCAAAACAAAATGGGCATCATCAATAATTAAAAATAATTTAAGCAATTGTCCTTCACTGTTTTTCCATGATCAAGACATATCAGTAGCCAGTTTCAAGGACCCTTCTACCTCTGCAGCCCAACCTGAGCCCAGACTTTCCTGTGAGTGGTATAATTTCAAGTCAAGTAAAACAGATCCAACAGATCAAAAATTATGCAAATTGGATAATTATTTGCCAAGATAGACAAGTTTAAAATTATAAATGTGTATCTTTTGATCCATTACAAATATTTACCTGCATTTAATCTGAAGTTTGCATGTACAGTATATAATTTTTCAATTATGTTAACTGGAGGAAAAATATAATTGGAATATAACTGGAGGAAAAATATAAAATATAATTGGACTCTTAGTGTCACGCACTTGAGCATTTCCTAATACTGTATAGTTACCTGGAGTTTACCTGTTACAATTTTATATGTCATCACAAAACTCAAAAAATACATTGTGCTTGTATTAAATACAAATTTCTGATAATAAAATATTTGAGGTTGAGATATATTTAGCCTTGGGTTAGTTTTGACTAGTAAGCTGATGCTGGTATTATTATACGTGTATTTGCATCCCACATTAATATCCATTCACTGACATATTTATCTTTCTAACTTTTCAACATAATGTAGCACCAAGCCTTTACTTAAGGCTTCACCATGGAAGTCTGAAATGTTTAAAACAATATTCTGACTGCAAAATGAATGAATCTGCAGTTAATGTAGATCCATACAATTATTACATACATTTTTTTTTTTTAGATTTCATCATTGACAGATTTGGATGGCACACATAATAAGTTCTCAGATAATGATGATACTACAGATTTTTCACTTGTTGGTCATGATGTTAGCAGTATTTATGTACTCCTAGTGAGTACATAGTGTAGTT